CATCATCATCATCATCATCCTTATCCTCCTCCTCATCATCATCCTCATGATCATCACACAGAGCGAACTATCTTGCGGACCGGCTCAGCCAGATGCCAGACTGCCACCAAACAGCAGGCTGCTCTTTTCTTTCGGACTTCCCACGCGGAGCCAGGGGCTATGGAGTCGGGGAGCAGATGGAAGTTCCGACGAGCGCCCTTTTTCCTGTGATTTCTGGGTAACGAGCACTTGGGATCTTCTCGTTCTAGGGGCATGCAAGGAGTAATTTGCAGTGTCCGAGAGTACAACACGAAGCTTCATCTGGCGGCTGTTGAACACGGCTTCTACTGCATCATCGCACAGCAGTGGCATTGTTCCTGTGCTGTCGTTCTTGCTACTGCGATGGGATTTCTTGCTTTGATTAGTTTCGGCGCGCATGTCGACGTCAGTTCCTGCTGCTCGCAATCGATATCTGGGCCTTGTTGCCCTGTCTGCCACAGTGTCAGTAGATCTCAAAGGACTGACAGCTCTCTGCCTTCCAGGAAAGGAAGGATGCCCTAAACCAGGCAAAAATCAGGCTTCAAGCTTCGCAATCCCTGCAGCATTAGTGCATTTTGGGGGATGCATTCCTCAAAGGAACACCTCGAATTGTGGCGTTGAGGTAAGTGCACTCTCGCCATTTGGCGAGGTCTCCTCATCATGTTCTGTCTTCGTGCAGTTTACGAATTAGGGCAGCAGACATCCGCGTCTACGAAAACAGGGAAAGTCCTCAGCTGGTAGTCGTTGTCGATAGTACCCACCAAGAAGCCCTGCTCTTTGCCGTCGCAGCTCCAACCACCTCCGCCTCCGACCAGCCAGTCATGTTTGCCTGGCACGCGATGCCCTAGCTCGCAAAAATCTCGCAGGATTTGTAAACCCTTGAGAAAGCTTTCAGAACCACTGATCCCGCTGGCCTGTTCTGAAGGTGCTCCACTGATCGGTGTTGTGGCGATGCCCAGCGAAGTAGGCGGTCTCTTTGCTCTGGTCACGGAGGAGGTCCTGACATTAGGTCGGCGCAGTTTTTCGAATGTCTCGCCTCTCCTGCCCTCAAGTCTCCTTCTCGGGACAACCACTTTACATGGATCTAGGAAATCTGGCTGCATGTTTCAGAAAATGATGACGTTCTCTTCGGACTTAATGGGGCCGGGGTGTCTAGTATCTTATAGATTCTTATAGTATATGATACACTGTTATAGCGTGTTTTAGTATACTAAGGTTTATTATTAGTTTGGTAGGGCTGTGTCTGTTGCGGAGTTCAGGGTCAAAGGAATTTATCGGCTTCGGCTTTAGCGTCGCTATAGAGTTTGTGAATATTAAATGTACTTATTCGCACCTCTATAACGACGCTAAAGCCGAAGCCTGAAAATATCGTTGGCCCTGGGCCCTGAACTCCACAACACATACAGCCCTACCAAACCTAAAGGTGTTTAAAGAGCCTGACATGATAATGTAGCGGCCTTAATAATTAGAATAGGGTTTTGGGGCCCAGTATGCTATAATTAGAATAAGGAACCCCCCAAAACAGTATTGGTAACTATTTAGGCCCCTATAGTAACCGGACAAGGTTGAACCAGATCAGCTCGGTAGTCACAGACAACCGGGAATTGAACGCGAGACGACAAAGAGTACTGAAGTGAAGCTGGGTTCTGCACTGCCGCAGCTGGTTAATCTATGATCCCAGTTCATTCCTATACTGAGAGTCCCAGCTGTAACTACCCATAACAGAGCATGAATTCTTACCATCTGCGGGTCCAGAAAGTCTTGTCTGGCATGAAAGTAGTCCGTGGGGTAGTGAGAGAAGATCAGAAGGTTGCGCGCCGTCGAGTGGTTTTTGCGGTCGAAAACCTCAGAGGCATCATTACTAATTCGTATTGCAAGTAGTAGTATTATTAGCGATATTCACATTTGTAATTCGTATTCGAATCAGTATTTGTATCAGCATTCGTAATCCTATTAGCATTAGTATCAACACGTAGGGTCCAAGGGGTAAGAGCCCGATGCCTGAGGGTCAAAATGGTCCTCTCAGGAAGCTTACGATCTAGTCTTGATCTTCCAGCTCTGCTAAGGGTTTAGGGTTCGGAGGTTTAGGGATGTAGCGGTTTAGGGTGCTGTTTGCAGCAAAGCTCGAAAGACCTAAACCGCAAACTGCATCAGGGTTTAGGGTTCGCCAAAGTGCTCAACAGCCCTGCCCTAAACCCTAAACCGAAATCAGAGTCCATTCCACGGTCTGTGGACTCTGGAAAATGCGGTTTGGAGGGCCCCAGGGAACTCTAATTTGGGAAAGCACCACATGCTGCAGGAATGGGCCACATCAGCCCATGAGCTTCTGAATCCTACGCACCGGGTTGCCCGGGGCCGCTGCAAACTCCTTAAAGCTTCAAGCCTGCACCCAAACAAGTCCGTAAACTGTAATTACGCCCTAAAGTCGCCCGCCCCAAACCCTGTAACTCAAACGCTTAAACCCTTGCCCTACTGTTGATGGACAAAATTCTGCATGACCCAAATATAGTGTAGTACAATAAACTCCCATACTTTAGGTATATAAGGTCATGCAGGATTTTGTCCATCAACCGTAGGAGCCTGAAGAGGTCTACTTGAGGGCCAATGAAAAAACAACAGAATCAGGTTCCCAGCTCTGACGTGCAAGGGTCCTTGTGAGGGCAACTGCAGACACCCATAAATTGTGAAATCATTCTGCTTGTTCGATTCTGCCATTATGTGCCTTTCCTCAACCCGAAACCCTTACCCCACCCTACCCCCCATAAACCCCTTGCAAAGCCCCTACAAAACCCTCATCGACCCTGACATAAGCCTTTGTAAAGCCCCGGTAAGCTGCCGATAAATAGCCATCATAACCTTATCATACTTCTGATACAACCCTTGTAAATTAGAATGCCCATATGAAACCCTGAAACCCTTACAACCCCCTGATGAAACCCGTAAAACCTGTTGTCAATCCCACATCACGAGCCACCAAAACCCCAGACCCTAAACTCTAATCACCTAAACTCGAAACCCCGAAACTCGAAATCCCGAACCCCTAATGTAGGGGCCTTAATTATTAGAACAGGGTTTTGGGGCCCATTATACTGTAATTACAATAAGGAACCCCGCCAAAATAGTACTGGTGATTATTAAGGCCCCTATATGAACTCAAACCCACACCCAAAACCCAAAACCCTAAAATCAAGAACCCTAAACCCTAAACCCTAAAACCTAAACCCTAAACCCTTAAAATCAAGAACCCTAAACCCTAAACCCTTAAAATCCCCTATATGAACTCAAACCCAAACCCTAAACCCTAAA